GGAGGAGGGAAGGGAAGGAGGAAGGAAGGGAAGGAGGGAGGGAGGAAGGGAAGGGGAGAGGAAGGAAGGGAAGGAGGGAGGAGGGAAGGGAAGGAGGGAGGAAGGAAGGGAAGGAGGGAGGAGGGAAGGGAAGGAGGGAGGAGGGAAGGGAAGGAGGGAGGAGGGAAGGGAAGGGGGAGGAGGGAAGGGCACACACACCTCCACCATCCTCCAGGCCTCACTGATGATCGCATACTGCAGGCGGTTCAGAACAAAGCCGTCCATCTCCTTCTGGACTCGCACAGGGCACTGTCCAATCTTCTTCATCAGGGCGTGGGTTCTGTCCACTGTCGTAGGGGCCGTCTCCGGGTGGGGAACCAGCTCAACCAGCGGGACATAGTATGGTGGATTCACCTTAGGAGAGAGAGAGAAGTGGGGGAGTCAGGGAGACAACCCTGGGTTTGGGGCATTGCTCCCACCCTGAATGGTCAGGAGGCGCAAATGCATCTTTGGAAAGGTGCCTTTAGATTCAGCGGCCAACAACAAGATACTTGAGAAAGAAATGTATTCACAAAGGTGAGAGGAAAAGGGAACCTGGATACAGAATTCTGTGGTTTTGTTTTAAAACAATTACCCAAAATACAAAGTTGGAATTTGGAGGAACAGCTAGCCATCCTGTATGTTTGTGGCTGATCTTCAAATCCCTGGCCTCCCCAGGACAGAATTTCTGTGCTCCCACCCGCCTTGTCTTCAAAGCTTCCTCCCACCCCACCACCCTCCGGAAGCATGCCTTCCCGTCTACAGTCACCACAGACTCTGACACTCTTCTGTGTCAGTGTTAAAAATTATTAGCAGGCTGGATGCGGTGGCTCACGCCTGTAATCTCAGCACTTTGGGAGGCTGTGGCGGGAGGACCACTTGAGCCCAGGAATTCAAGATCAGCCTAGGCAATATAGTGAGACCCTGTCTCTACAAAAAAATCAAAAACATTAGCTGGGTGTGGTGGTGTGTACGTGTAGTCTCAGCTACTTGGAAGGCTGAAGTAGGAGAATCACTTGAGCCCAGGAAGTGGAGGCTGCAGTGAGCCACGATCGTGCCATTGTACTGCAACCTAGGTGACAGTGCCAGACGCTGTCTCAAAAATAAATGATTAGCAGTGTCTTCCCAAAACCTGGTATTTCCTCAGTTCCTCCACATTGCACCTTAAGCGTCTGTCTCTTCCAATCGAAGGTCACCTTCCTGCTCTAGATATCAACAGTCATCCACACACCTCAGCCGGCCCTGCACGCCAACAACCCCAAGACAGGAAGGCGTTGTCCCGGCGAGGGAGCCCGAGGCAGGGGCCTGGACTTCACTATTCGACTGTGGTGTCCTTGGTTTACTTTGAGAAACTGTTCTTAGAGATTCCTCACAGAGAACTAGCAAATGTCCAGAGAAAACAGTGCTTGGTAGAACCTGACTGGCCTGAGCACTGAGCCAAGTGTATCGCAGCAAACTGGTCCCCAAATGATGCTTTTAAATGCGTTTTCCTCCACCATATGGGTGACAGGTAGAATGTCACATTTCCTAAGTGATGCGTCCATGAGCAAAAGCTTCTATTTCAAGGTGACGCCCACAGAAGAGGGAAGGAGCAATAAGGGGCGTCGTGGGCACCTGCTCTGCCCTCTTAGGAAGCAAGAGAAGACTTCAGGGTGGCAGTGCGCGGGGCGGACTCAGAAACACGGCCCGAAAGGGTTAGACAGACACAGTGGCTGCGCGGGGCCGGGGCCTGGGCGGGAAGGCTGCGCGCCGGCGGCCCGAGCACAAGGGGCGCATTCTTCCCGCCGCCCGGGCCCCGTGTGACCGCGCCGACAGCGCGGCCGCCCACAGAGGCTCCCTTCACCCTCGCTCCGGGACCAAGCGGCGAGGCCCACGGGGCCGGCGGCGCCCTCGCGGGAGGCAGCCGGGCTGGAGCCTCTTGTGCCCTCGGCGCCCGCGGCTTCCCCGGCGGCCCGTCCTCCCCGGCGCGCTCGCAGGCGGGGCCCGGAGCAGGTCCGAGCGGCCGCGGGGCGGTGCAGGTGCCAAAGGCCGCCCAGAGCCCCGCGCTCCGCAGACAGCAAGCCCGTGCCTCCGGCGTTTACCGCCCCCGGGGCTGACGGCTTCAGCGTCAGACGGGAGGCAAGTCCGAAAAGGCCGAGCACAGGCAAGGGGCGGGGAGGGGCTGACCGGTGGCCTCCCCCCACGCCCACCGCGCGGCCCCCCTTCCAGGCAGGCGGGCCATACAGCAGGCCCCTTGCTTAGAGGCCGCCCAAGACCCCGCCAGCTCCATAGGACCACGTCCTTCCCAGACTGAACTCAGGAAGAGAGAAAAGCAGGAGCCTCTTTGTAAAGTGCGGCTAAACTATCAGTAGAAAACTGCCCCTCCATCAGCGCGAACACAGAGCCCAGTAAGGACACACTGCGATGCGCAGTGCACGCCACTGTCACCACAGGCCCCAGCGCCACGTGCTCCTCCCCCAGCCCCCCACGTGGGAATTCCGGAGTCACTGCCACGAGGAGTCCAGGAAACAACACAAAGTCACTGGAGAAGAAAAACGTCCAGAACAGAGCAGGGCTGCATGAACAGCCCCCTTCCTGGGCCTTCAGTGTGGCCGCCAGTGGCTCCAGTCCCGGGAGCCCACCCTAAAGCGCAGCCTGAGCTCCTGCGCTGGGCGCACATGCTCATCTGGCCAGTGCCTTTCGCGACCCCCGACCGGAAGTGTGGCCCCGCTCCAGGGGGCCCGTGGCGGTGGGACGCTGGCTGCGGGCCTCTCTGTGTGGGTGGGGACAGAAGCAACCTTTCCAATCTGCTGAATATCCACTTTTGCCACGGCATGAACAGGCCTTTTTTCTTCAACCTATTTTAGGTCCAAGCAAAGATTACCAGTGATTGAAATAAAGGGCCCCCAAGCAGGGCCTGGGGCTGCAGGCTGAGCCGCTCCTAGCTGGCCTGGGGTCTCCGCGGAAACTGTGGTGCCTCAGAGATAATCACTGGGTCTTGATTCTGTAGCAACTGCCTGTCCACTCTCCTAGAGGCCCCGTGGGGTGAGCAAGAGGTGGGGCCAGGTGGCGTGCCTTTCTCCTGCAATTCCAGCACTTTGGGAGGCTGAGACAGGAGGCTTGCTTGAGGCCAGGAGTTCAAGGCTGCAGTGAGCTTTGATGGCACCACTGCACTCCAGCTTGGGCAACAGCCGCAGAGACAGAAAGAAAGAAAAAAAAGAGGGGGGCAGCTGGAACACAGAGGAAAGGAAGGGAAAGATCCAAAGACCGCTAACTCAGGTTATCTGGTTTTGCTTTAATTAACATGAGTTTTGTTTAAAAATAATTTGTAACAATAAGGAAGATTAATTTTTAAAATAAGCCCTGGACTTTATGCTGTTTCATTAAATAAGTAAGCAGTAGTGTGATGGAACAAGAGTAGGAGGGAGGGAGAGAAGTGTCATTAATCTACAGTTACCAAATTCTGCTGGTCTGGGGACTGTGCTGGGTGTGAGGGAGAAGAAAGTGACTCAGGTGTCCTCTCACCCATCTGGCAGTTTAAAATTAAAGAGACGCAGTAAAGGTCTTATCAAAGAATTCAGGAGGTATTTTCTGAACGATTTAATTTAGATTAGTTTTGTTTTAAACTAACTTAGAAGCAAAAACATGGGTTAGGAATGAGGAGGCTGACACCTTCCGCTGAAGCAATCAAGCAGCAGCCTAGGTCTCCGGGAGCCCTTTTTACGCACACATGTATGTCTCCAAAGCAAAGGCATGGCAGACTTCTCAGGACTTGGTTTCCATCAGGGTCCCTCGAATGCTAATCTCATTCCTATTTGAGTGGTAACCAAATGTGGCTGGTTCTCTTCTACTTCTATGCATCTCAGCCTCCTTATTTTATAATCGTTCCTCATTCTTTCCGTCCTCTCTCCCAGGACCATGCAGCTATGCAAATGGTGGTCCAAGCTGCCGCTCTTCTCAGCACGTAAAACCGGGCAGGCATCTGCAGATCTGGTAGGCATCTGTTACCTCCACACTCTAAATGGTTCTTGCCCAGAAAGAGGAATTGCCCAGCTCTTGATCCTAGGCCCTGGTCACTCAAGCTTGGAATACTGCTCAAGTCCTGTGACATCACTGCTCCCCTCTCTGACCCGTCTTCACCCCAGGAAGGACGTTCGTGTTGCTCTCCCCAAGCAGCGCCTTCACCACATCACACTGCTGCTCTGGACCCAAGCTGCCTGTCCCAGCCTGCAGAGTAACCCTCATGACTCTCCAAACCCAGCTACTACTGAGGGCTCCCATGGCTGCAGGGCATGTGTGCTCATCCCACCAGGCTGGCCTCCCACAGTTCTGCACAACGAGCTTGCTCTTGGCCCAGGGTCTTTGTTTATGCTCTTCCCCAGCTTCAGACCCTCTCTTCCCCTCATCAGCCCAACCAGCTGCTAGCCAGGCTGGGCCCAGCGCCTCTGTGTTGCTTCTCCCTGATCTTATCCTCTGGCAACCTGGTGGTGCCAAGGGTGTGGTCACTATTATATACTATTATATTTATCATAGCTTGCGCTAAGTCACCCTTCCCATTCCAACAGGCTGTCCTGGTTCTCCAAGGTCACAATGAACTCACAGTTCAACTCAAATGTTGCTCACTGAATCTCCTCTCTCATTCCCCATTCCTCACCTCAATACATTAACCACTAGAAGATTGCTTGAGTGCTTGCATGCCAATTTGAAACTCATTGTCCAGGGCACCTCATAACGCACTCCTGGCAAATAAGCTTGCACAGTTAATTACAATGAGGGGTGGAAGGGAACCATAAGGAAAAAAAGTACTTAACGTCAGACCTACAGTCAGAATCTCAGAAGTGGGACCCAGAATGTGCATTTTAACAAAACAGATCCTACTCTGAATTGCGTTGAGTAAACTACACAGTGCGAGTGACATATCTGTACAATCCTGCCTGATGTATACATTTTTGATGTAGCACATTTATACTGATAGTAGAATTTTGTGTTTAGTAGTCAGCCTTCTCAGCTACACAGTTACTTGAGGTGAAAGCCTCAAAGCATTGCTCACGTGGTACACAGATAAAAATCCAAGGGATTTTTGGATAAAATTCGTTTTTAAAATACTGGTATTGCACAACTCTGTAAATACAATAAGAACCACTGAACTACACAATTTGAATTGGTGAATTGAGTAAGTGAATTATATCTCAATAAAGCAGTTTAAAATACTAATGGATTCGGGGGGGTCCAAGTTATTGACCCCCCCACAAAAACAGAATGATATACAATCAATCCTCTGGATTTAAAATACTCACAGGATGAGCCACGATGCACTGCTTCACATGGACCAAGCCAGCAAACAACTTGGAAGGCATGAGACAAGAGGTGGAACTGCTTAAGATCACTCGATCATCAACGATGGAATCTAACTGAGCAAAAATCTTCTTCTTCAGTTCTAGGTCTTCTGGAACACATTCCTGGAAAGGACACATTTAAATGACTGACTCTTTGTGATCACTCGACTCAGGCCCCAAGCAAAGCGTTTCATGTTTGTTTCATTCCTGAAACAAACCACTTTGAAAATGACGAGGTTCAGCATGTATCCCAAAATATGGCAACTTGGCATTTGAGAGAGCAGCGGAAGCAGGAAGGTCCCTTTAACCTTCGCCTCCCTCCTCCCCTAAAGCAGGCCATGAAAGAATCCTCTGCCCTTCCCTTGAAGCAGCTCATAAGCTCCTCATTCCAGAGGTGCCCCTCATACCCAGAGAAAAAAATCTCCTTGTCTCTGAAGACACAGGGACGAATCTGGACCAACAGGCCTTGCCAACTTCCCTCTAGTTTCATGCCAGCTAAATCATACCCTTTTGTCCCATCATACCTCTGTCCACTCTTGATCAAACCTAAGCAGAAACGTACAGAGGTTCCCCTATGTCTTGGGGTCTATACTTCCTTTTGAGGCTCCTGTGTCACAAAAACTTACAATAAATACCTCTGTATGTTTCTCTCTTGTTCATCTATCGTTTGTTATAGGGGCCTTAGCCATGAACCTTTCCATAGGTGCAGAAAAGATATTACTTGTTCTCCCTTACAAAAGCCACCAGCAAGATTTAAAAACAATAAAAGGCTGCTGAAACACATGATAAATCTTGATAACTCTAGAAAGTGGGTGATGAATATATGGGAGTTTTCTGTACTTCCTCATTGTGAATAGCCTGACATTTCTCATAATAGAAAAGTCTGCCAACCATATGGGGGTGGATTCTACAAACAAAACACACAACAGCACCCTAGGTAAACTGCTGTAAACATCAGTAGTTATCATCAACAATTATTTTCCCTATCGGCTTTGACCATCAGATCAACAGATCTTCAAGGAAAAATCTCATCCTCACAAAATGAATAAATATGTTACGTCCATAATTCCAAAAAGGGTTCTTGTGAATCCATTTCTAATTGGAAAAGATCCTCATTTCCAAAAATCTAAAACTACATTAATCCGGGTAAGGGAGTGGGATAAAGAAGCAAATTTGGATTAAATACTGGAGATAACAACCTCTCTGAAGTTCTAATTACAAAGCTAGAGTGACAGTGAGAAGCACGTTGAAACACCCAGCGCTGACCCACAGGCGAGGTGTGTTCCCTGCCACATGAGGATGAAGAGGGATGGAGGCGGACCAGGTGGAAGATGTAAGAGCTGCTCTGACACTCTGCAAATACTAGAGCTGTCCTTCCCCTCCTGGCATCTGCAGCCCTCGGATCACAGCAGGGGTCACTCCTAACCAAGGTCCCCGCTCACCCACCGGGTGCTGCAGGGGAGGAGGCAGGGTCTCCCAGCATTCCCTGGTGACTTCAGGAGGATGACTCTCAGTGTGGTGCAATAGCCACCCCATCAGAATCAACTGCATGGCTTGTTAAAAATGCAAATTACCTGGCTCCCATCCTGAACCTACTGAATCAGAGTCTCTGGGGGTGGGCTCCAAGCATCTACAGTTCTAACAAGCATCCCTGATGATTCCTATTTCCACTAAAGTTTGGGAACCACTATTCTGAGGTGTGTATCCAAAGCGTGGGTCCCCAATGCTCTCGCTGCAGTGTGCCACCAGATGCATCCTCCAGGGTCTCCCCTCCGTCCCAACTACTCAGGGACAAACGAGGTGCCCTGGCAGGAACTGGGAACTGTATTAGCACTGCACCCATCTCATGGTCTCTAACCATCTGACCAATTTTACTAAAATATTAAATTTGCGTATCGTATTAGGTCGCGAACACAGTATAAACACCAGCAGATAACAAAAAATGTGTAAACACGAAATTCAGTGCTGAAGAACTACTAGAAATTACATCAGAATCACCCCTCAAAAATAAATGTTTTCAAGTTTAATTGAATAATACCTAAGGGTTAATATCTTCTAATACGTTGAAATCAGTTGTGTAAATAGTGTGACATGAGTTTTGCTTCTATGTCCTTTACAAGATTTTTAACGTTTTATTCTACGTGTAGGGAGTGCATATTGGATTTGTTTACACCTCTCAAAAATATAATCAAACCATGTGAATCTTTTTAAAGAAACAAAAGGTCTCATAAGCACCACATCTCAAAGACAGAAAAAAAAAATCCGTCATTTAAGAACTGTAAAGCCCATTGTGTCAAGTCCCCTTATCCACAGGAGGAAAAGAGCTACAGTAGCTGGCTCATTGTAGTGAGTCATTCCTGGATCAGTTAAGTCTGCAAGTTGGGTTAAGTTTAAATGGAGCCTTGTAGCAAAGCCAGAGACGAAGAATGATGCAGATCCTGTGTAAGCTCATAAAAGAGTCTCTGTGAATAGCCTTATTGTAAGCCTGTCGTGCAGATTCTCCCCTGAAATTCTATGCCTTTCTTCAGATCATTTGATTATCAAAGAGGGAAGAAAACCTGAACCAGAGGAAACCCAAATCTGTTACAATTATGTAAGAGTTTTTAACAGCACATTTGCTGGAAGTTTTGTTGCGGTAGTTGTTGCTGTTTTTAAGAGTGACCCAATTGTGCTGGATGTGCTGGGCTGGGATTATGAGGATGCTGTCCATGTCACAGCTGAATTTATTTCCTTGCTATTATTTATTCAGATACTCTCGGTCTGAGAAAGGGAGTCTGACACATTTATCAGGACCTTCCTCACTTGCAGTTGGTTACAAAGCTCAGAGAAGCTGCAGTCATTCTCTTTGCCCTAAGGGACTGGGGGCAGGCAGGGAAGAATGCCAGTGAGACAGCTGAGAAGGTACCTGCCCTCCCTGTCCACACCAGAGAGACGCAACCTGTGCACTGTCAACTCTGTCTTTCAGGGGCGCTTTGTAGAGACAGGCACCAAATGTGAAGCACTAGCAAAAATTCTACCACTACTAAAGGGAATCAGCTTGACTTTGCTTAATGAAAGGCTGGCAGCATCTTTCAAAGCACGGACTTGTTTGTTTGGGCTTTGTTTTGAGGCAGGGGAGGGAGACACAGCGCATGACAAATAATATTCTCACGCACAACCACCATTGGCAGGCCCAGATTTTGACAAATAAAACAAAACTCTGGGGAGAGGTAAAGCACAATGTGACTTCCCAGTTCTCACAACCATCTGTCAAAAGGATCACCCTCTTCCTTAGACTGATCACTGGCTCAGCAGGTATCCCCAGCTGACAGGTGAGGCAGAGTTTAGACACCGTGGTTTTCCCCTGCCTTTCTTGAAGGGAGGAAACAACGTGATGCAATTCCAGGCACGACTTCTAATGCTCTCTAACTTGTATTTTTAAAGTCAATCACTTATAAACTTCAGTTTTTGACGGTTAGTAAAAGTTACCCGTGTGGTTCATTCAACTCATTAGGACCCTGATGTGGAAAACTGGCGGAGCCGCAGCAAGTCTGCTAACTGGACCATTCCCAGGGCAAGGGCGTGCTGGCTAAGTATTCACTTCTGAAGTTTACCCACTTACTTATGCAACATACATTTTCCAAAACATATATTTTCATGGTGAAAATAAAATTTTGTTAAGTTTGTTGTTGTTGTTGCTAAATCAATCCAGGCATTTTTTTTTTTTTTTTTTTGAGATGGAGTCTCGCTTTGTTGCCCAGGCTGGAGTGCAGTGGTGTGATCTTTGCTCACTGCAACCTCCACCTCCCAGGTCAAGTGAGTCTCCTGCCTCAGCCTCCCAAGTAGCTGGGACTACAGGTGCACGCCACCACACCGGCTATATTTTTAGTAGACATGGGGTTTCACCACGTTGGCCAGGCTGTTCTCGAACTCCTGACCTCAGGTGATCTGCCTGCCTCAGCCTCCCAAAGCACTGGAATTACAGCATGAGCCACCGCACCTGGCCAATCCAGGCATTTAAAATAGGCATCCTGTTGCTAGAAAATCTGTATTTGCTAGTGCAGAATATCTGGACGCAGCCTTCAACGTGCTTTCCAGAAAGAAAAAAACAAATTAGCAGACTTCAATATTTAGGGTACTTTACATGCAAGGATCTATAAGGTAATTTTAAGAGGGAAAGACGTGGTAAGAAAGGAAAGATGAGTTTGAATCCTACTGCAACCATGGCAGAAGGAAATCCACTCTCAGGTTGGAGACGGAGGTGTTCTGCATTGTAAATTCTGTTAGCACTAGTTACATCTCCAACTTCAATCTGCCTAATTAACACCCCAGTTTCTCTTCACCATTTCTCCCAGGAGCACAATCTTGAAAATCTGTCAGATGAAAGACTGCTATGGCAACACTTTTTAAGAGGTGGACACCATAATTACTATTTTAAAAAATAAGAATCTTTTTGCTCTAGAATAAACAATGTGTTAAGTAAAAGGGAAAAGAGCACATCTATTTTCAACATCACAGGCAACCAACTGCACTATGCTCTAACCGGGGTCTCTTTTTTTCCATAAAAATCAAAATAAAGGATTTCTTTTTTAATTTTTTTTAAAAAGCATATTACAAATCCTAAACAGTTCTACCATAATCGAGAACAAATTATACTCACTCAAAAGAGACCTTTCCAAAGTAAAAATCAGTGTAGACTGCATTTAAGAATGTGACTTCCTGGGGCTTAGGTGTTCCAGTTACAAGGATTATTGTTGTTTACTTTAAAGAGCAGTCCTTTCTCCAGGTGACCACAGAGAACCCAGAGGCGGCCCCCGTGGCACATGCATCAGTTGCTATCCTGATGATGTATCTGTCCCATCCTCATTCCAATAGTTTTTGTACCTTTTATGAAATCATTTATTTAGAATTGTGTTAAAATGCTTGACATGAAAAAATAATACAACTGAAAATATTCCATTTAGTCCTGCAATGATATAGATTTGCTGCATTTCTATTTCTCACGGGGAAGAAGTGAGAGTTTTGAATACAAATTTTTTGGGGGACAGAGTCTTGCTGGAGGAGTCCAGGCTGGAGTGCAGCGGTGCGATCTCAGCTCACTGCAACCTCCACCTCCCGGGTTCAAGCGATTCTTCTGCCTCAGC